TCTGTCTGGATTGGTTTTCTAAATAGTTGAAGGGCAGGTCTGGGATGGCCTGACTTGAACTTTAGAGTTAATGGCATATTTACATACATATTGTATGACTCCATTTATCTGAAACCTCCAGAATGCAAATACCTAGAGAGAGAAAGCAGACTAGTGGATAGGGAGGCGGGAGCAGGGGGGAGATAGGGTAATAAAAATGTTTTGGAATTAGTGGTGTTGGTTGCACACTTTAGTGGATATGCTTAAAACCACTGAAAATTGTACACTCTAACAGAGTGAATTTTATGGTATATAAATAATACCTCAATAATAAACATTTTTTAAAAGAAAGTATGGAACAAAGGCAGTTGGTGCCTCTGTTTTCCACATGTGGGGAAACATGAGAGACCCATGGAGAATTGTCTCCCAATATGTCTATTCAAGTACATAGTATTCTTTCAATATAGTTTTCTTTATACATTTTTGAACATATATATATTTATGAATATACATACACATATACAGGATGCCCCAAAAATGTATACACACACTTTTAATAATTATAAAGGCAATGTTTATTAAAATACATTTCATTTTCATTTAACAGGTATCAGCTGTTAAAGTGTGTACTTGGGACACCCTATATATTCCTTATATGTGTTTCCTTAAGTATTTTTTGTGTTTATGCCTTGATATTTTAAAAAATGATTTATTATAAGTACATATGTATCATATATTATAAATTATACCTTTGAGCTCATTTTTATTGGTATAAATAAAGACTACAGATTTGTTTTAAGACTAATTTTTAGAGCAGTTTTATGTTCACAGCAAAACTGAGTGGACGGTACAGAAATATCCCATAGACTCTCCTGTCCCCACACAGGCATAGCATCCCCCATTATCAACATATCCCATCAGAGTGGTATTTTTGTTACAGCTGATGAATCTACATTGACACATCATACTCACCCAAAGCCCATAGTTTACGTTAGGGTTCACTCTTGGTGTACATTTTATGGGTTATTGGTCAAATGCATAATGACTTGTATACATCATTGTAGTATTATAGATAGTAATTTTAGCACCCTAAAAATTCTCTGCTCCCCCTAATCATCTCTGCCCCCACACCCCAACCCTTGACGACCACTGATCTTTTTACTGTCTCCATACTTTTGCCTTTTTTAGGATGTCATATAATTGGAATTATAGAGTATATAGCATTTTATAGCATTTTAAAATTATACAGTATATAGCATGTAATTGGAATTATATAGTATATAGCATTTCACTTAGTAATATACATTTATGTTTCCTCCATATCTTTTCATGGTTTAGTAGCTCATTTGTTTTTAGTGCTGAATAATATTCCATTGTTTGGATGTACCACAGTTTATTTATTCTTCTATTGAAGGACATCTTGATTATTTCCAAGATTTGACAATTCTGAATAAAGCTGCTATACACATCCATGTGCAATTTTTAAAAAATATATCTTTATTGATTTCAGAGAGAGGAAGGGAGAGGGAAAGAGAGAGAGAAACGTCAATGATGAGAGAATCATTGATTGGCTGCCTCCTGCACACCTCTACTGGGGATGGAGCCCGCATGTGCCCTGACCAGGAATTGAACCTCGATCTCCTGGATCATAGGTCAATGCTCAACCACTGAGCCACACCAGCTGGGCCCATGTGCAATTTTTTCTGTGAACATAAGTTTTTAATTCATTTGGGTAATTTACAAGATTCACATGTATAGACATAAAAGGGGCCACATACTAAACCTGACAAGCTCAGGGGAGGCCTGGATGATGGCCTTACAAACTCAGAGACCAAAAGTAACTACATAGATCGTCTGAAATTAAAACTTTCTAACTAAAAGTGAGTCATGGTGGGTAGTGATGTCCTAGGACAGTATCTTCCTTGACAAGGGTCAATCTTTAACTTAACTGAGCCTGTTTATTGTCTTTTTGCATCTAACATAACATACCTTTGGAATGTCAGAGTAATCTAATTTTCCGGACTCATCAGGGCACGACCACTGCACCAGGGCGAGCACAAGGCCACAGAACCCCTCTTGCACTGTTACCTTGTTTTCCCACAGATCAACTCTATGTGCTATAAAATTCTTAAATGTCCAATGCCCACCAATGTAAAGGAAGTGTGTGTCTATTTGTTCTACTTTTTGTCCAGTCTCAGAGATTTCCCCATTTTGCTTTCTTCCGCCTCCTTGATCTGTCACCAGTGGATTTCATCTGCTTTGATTCTTATGTATAAAATAAGTGGAAAAGCTGCCATTGCCTGGAACATTTTCTCAATCCGTTAAAATTTTGCTTCGCGGCAGTTGTCATCAGTTTGGCTCAAATAAACTAATAAAAATTCTGTACAGGTTTAAACATTTTTTTCATTGACATATGGTAAGAATATGTTTAGTTTTATAAGAGCCTGCCGATTGCCTTCTAAAGTGGCCATACCATCTTGACTACTACCAGCAATGTCTGAGATTTCTTATTGCTCCACATCTTGACAGTATTTGGTGCTATTAGTGTCCTGGATTTTGGTCATTCTAATAAGTATGTAGTGGTATCTCATTGTTTTAGGTTGTATTTTCCCGATGACATATGATGTGGAGTATCTTTTCATATGCTTATTTGCCATCTGTATGTCTTTTTTTGGTGAAGACTACTATAGATTTATAATGTTAATATTATATCCAGCTACTTTGTTAAATTCTCTTACTGCTTTAAGTGGTTTCTCCCATTTATTTTCATTTATTATTTTAGTTTTTCCACAAGATGCTGCATTTGGTGTATACACAGGGTGAGGCAAAGTGAGGTTTACAGTTGTGAGTATGTGAAACACAGTTTATTCTTGTATTATTATTTATTAATTATTGTATTATTTTCCATACAAACAACTGTAAACCTACTTTTGCCCCACCATGTATTTAAACAATGGAAGATTTTAGAGTTCCCTGTGTGAGAGTGGCGAGGAAGGGAGGCTAAGCAATTGCAGGCTGCATTGTAGGATGATCTCATTGGACCCTTTCTGTAGGGACTGCCGATTCAGTATCATTCAGTCTTGTCTTTTGGGAGTCAAATTTCTAAGAAAAGGCTTTTTCAGTCTCCTACCTGAGGGTTGATATAATCCTAGCTGCCAGCGTTCTTTGAGCTAGGTTGGAGGCATCTGGGAGTGTGAACATTTAGTATACAGTCTTTTACTGTATAAGCCTTTACTTAATCCCTCTTTTTTTCAATATAGAACCCAAATTTAACAAGGTCTGGCTTCCTCTGAGTAGAGATCCTGTTTTACCCTCCCCATATAATAATCCTCTAGTCAGGAGCAGATCCCAGTTTTGTGGGGCCTGAAATTTATGCAACTTAGGGTCTTTAAGAGAAAGAATAAAAAGTACTGTGTTTTACAAATTAAAATGACCATTTAAACACATTTATTGGGCCCCCTCCCAGGGCTTTGGAAGGGGACCCAGCATATGCTAGGCCCTGAAGCTAAAGGTTACTTAATTTCATGGTAAATCTAAAGTAGCCTCCAACCGTTCCGGAGATAGGGACAGCAAATAGCTTAGTAGTGTAGAATTAGGGAGGGATTTGGTAGTCTAAATCATAAACATAATGTGAATCAAAAAGACTTTCACCCCAATTTCTAGGGTTACCTGGTACTATCAAGTTCTAAGCCTTTTTTAGGGGTTTTTTGTGGTAATAAGATTGCTTCTTGGCTTCCCTCATTCCTGTTTTCAGCTTTCTTGAGTTTACCGAATCAGTTTTCATTCATCTATCAGCTTTCTAGTGTCCAAAATGTTGATGCTATTGTCTCCTTTACCATGCTTGCTGTTCTTGTGAGTTTATGCCATTAAAAAAATGCCATTTTTGTTATTTTACTGAGTTTCAGAAGAGAGTAGAAGTGTGTGCTCAACCTCCATTCTTAACTCAAGATCAGAATGTGCTAAATCACATTCCAAAATTGCCCTCCCAGCCCCCCAAAAATGGCTGGAACACTTTACACTCTAGCACCACAGCAAGAACATATCCACTTACCCTTGCCAATAATCTGTATTCTCAAAATTCCCCAATCTGGTTAGATAAACTATCGCGTTATTTAAATTTGCATTCCCCTGATTGCTACTGAGGTTTAGCATAATTTTATATGTTTATTGGCTCTTTTTGTTTCCTCTTCTATGAATAACTGTTCATATAACTTACCCATTTTTCTAGTAAGTACTGAAGGGTATCAGAACACACTACCCAAAATACCCCATTTGGGCATATTGATTGAGCTGAAGGCAATTGAGAAAAAAAATATATAGGAAGGGCTCTCTGACCCTTCTTTCTACCTAAAGCAGGGAATAAAATTTCCCATGAGAAAGGTGCCCTCCCTGTAGCAGGAAGAGAAGAACATTCTTATCACTAGAGACAGGGGCTGAAATCAAGATCAATCTGCATAAACAAACCTACTAAAATAATCCTTGTCTTTCATTAGTTCTTCCCATATATTCCCTAGTCACTTTCCAACAATTTATCATCCCAAGCCCGAACCTCTTTTTTCTGCCATGTCAGTCTCCACAATTTATCATTCTTTGTTAAAACAGTATGTAAGCTCTCAAGCCTATCTGCTTATTTGGGCTTTCATTTCTTATATATGAAGGCCTCCATGTATATGTAAAAATATTAACAACAAAATTGTATGTTCTGCTCCTGTTAACCTGTTTTTGTAAGTTTAATTGTAGGCCCAGCCACAGAACCTAAGAGGACAGAGAAAATGACTTTCCTCCCCATAGTAGTTTACTTTTTTCTTATTGAATAGTTTTTATCCATTGATTTGAAATGTCATGTTTATTAACTACTAATGGCTAATTTGGGTATTTTTGGTTTCTGGAGTCTGTATTCTTGCCCATCAATTTGACATCTGATTTATTACCAGCTTTTCAAAACTGCTCTTCATATAGGAAATATCCTTGCAAGAAATTAAATGGGAATTTGTTAACAGCATAAAAATACCAATTAGAGATTGAAATAAAATGTCCACTTTAATACTGATCACACAAATGTTTACATTTATCCCAAAATTATGAGGACAACTTGTGCATGTCACATTCATATTACTATCCGTATAAGAACAACTATACATAACCATTTATTTACCTATACCAGGATAACATACAATGTTTTGTTTAAGACTTCTCAGTTAAAAGGAAACACTAAATAAGGAAAATGAATTTCCAAAGATTCAATTATTAACAATAAAATAAAAATTACTTCCAAATGTCTTACATTTTGACAACTTTGAATTATACTTACATGCTATCATTTCCAAAAAACATAAATTACAACAAGGGTCACTGTCAGGGTGATATATATATATATTTTTTAAAGCTTTTTTTAAAATATGCTATTATGCTTTAACATCATTTGATTTGTTCTTGGCACATGTGGCATCTTGGAAAGTAAAAATACACTTGCCAATTTTATGTTATTGTGCAGGTATAAGAGAAAGCACAGTTTGGGAGGCAGGCAGACCTGTGTTCAATTACCAGCTTTGTCCAAAGTTGTGTTGTATGAGGCTGGTCAATTACTACTTGGCCCTGGGGCCAGGATTAAATTAAATAATGCACACTTTGAAATTCTTAGCATGGGCACTAAATGGACGATAGATGCTTTCCTCTATTTATTTATATTGAAGTAATAGTAAAATATCATAGTCTTATGTTTTGGTACAATCTGAAAAACTGAAAAAAAAATTAAAAATAAAATGAATGTGTTTTGAAAAATTGTACTTTTAGAAATAAAGCCTTCATCAGGCTTAAATATTTCTCAATAAAAATTAGTGCCTAGTATACCCTGATTTTAAAAAAAAGTATGATAGAATGGTCAATGGTTAAGGACTTTTGGTTTTCTTTTGTGCTACTGATATAAAAATAATGGCTATATTTAAGGCTCATTAAGTGATTATTTGTAGTTGCCCTGAACCAAATTTATATTCTTTATGTTGCACTATCAACTGAAACAGACCTACTGCCTTGAATGACTCATAGAGAAACGCCCATGATATTCTACATTTGAACAATCATGGCCTCCTTACTGATTTTAAGTAAAGGTTCATTTGGTCGCATGCGGCAGTACAGCTTGTCTGTGATTAAGGATGATTCTTATATACACAATCACAAACCCCTTTCTAATGCTAAATACCTGGTGTTTGGAAGACCTAAGATTCCTGAAAATTAAATTGAAATTGTCATAGGGAAAAGCCTACTGTAGACAGCATCGCTTCCATCCCTGTCTTGAGTCTTTTTCTTTCCTACCCTGACCACCTAACAAATCATCCTTTTAAAATCTCACTCAAAAACCCCTCCTCCAGGAATCTTACCCTAATCAAATTTCACATTCCCTCCATTTATGTCCTGACACTCGTGTGTAATTTGTATCAACTTGAATCTGCATATAATATTATACATATTTTGTTTGCCTTCTACTTCCAGCTAGGATGTAGTCTCTTTGACTTTTTAAGCTTCCACAGTGTTTAGCGCAATGCTGTGCATGCATGTATGTGACTGTGTGTATGCATTTGGGCGTGTGTGCACGTGTGTGTTGAGTGAATCAAAGACTAAAGAACCTGGGTGGGTGTAGGGTAGAAAAAGTTTCATAATTTTTCAGAAATCAATTGCTGGACCTTCCTAAAACTGAAAATCTGATTTCCAAAGCTATTTCAGTTTGGTCTTGGACATGTCAATAATAAAAAGGCAGTGAGAAGACTTTTTTAAAAACCTTTATGAAGTATTTCAAAAGGTTTTTAAATAAATTATTAAGAGCACCAAACCAAACATTTTACTAAACAGTGGTATAATCTTTCCTATAACTTTAAAAATGTAGACTTCATTTCACTCAAGACAAAGAATACTGAATAGGAATAGGTGTTGTGAATCAGGATTAAAAAGGCAATTCACTCTAAGTCAATATCTAATGCACATTTTGCAATTAATTTGAAAAGCCTTCAGTGGTACAAATGTATGTTATGTTAAGTAAAAGAAGGGTTTAGATCAGGATGCTGTAGATCTCTATAGTTGTTTTGATACTATAAAATATGACATATACTGAAGCTGCTATCTCACAAGAAAAATTTTGTTTATCATAGCTGTTAATATTAAAATAGGATATAATAAAAATTCTCAATGTGTATATTTTTCAGGTTTGCCTGACAGTGTCCTTTTAAGAAATCTGACAATTTGTAGTTAGATTACAGACATTTGAATTTCACTTTTATGACTGAAAATATTACACATACATAATAACAACAATATATAACATCTTTTTACTGAAGCACTCTGCAATTTACATTTAAAGCTTTGCAATAAAACAAAATTCATTGTACTTTTGTAAGTAAAATAACACAACATATAATGTATACAATAATTACATTAAGAATAAATAAAATGAAGCATAAAAATTCTGTATCATAATAATGGATTGTTTTAGCTGTCATTCTAAATCTTAGTTTATATGTTTGTATTGAGTTCTAATGTATTTTAAACCCAAGAACCTTTACTTTTAAATAATATACTAAAAATATCAAGTTTGGAGTATAAACGAAACACTCTTTATGTCCTTTTTCTAGGTCATCTAGGAAATAAAATAAGACAAATGGTGGGCAAGGACAGTTCTCTTACTACAAAATGCCTCCTTGCTTCTCCATATATTTTTATGTCACTTCTAGGGCAAATATTACAAGATGACAGCTTTGGCAGATTATAATTGTACTTAAGAGGTTTATTATTTGGAAGAAAGAAAAAAATTAAACTAAGAACTTCTTTTTTGGCTTATTCATTCTCAACCTTTTGTTTCTCTAATATACAACAGTAGTATAATAGCACTTTTTGAAATGCTGACCATGAATCATTTTAATCAGCACAAAGTGAATTTGAGTAATTTATAGAGTTACTCTAAATAGGTCATCAGTATAGGTACTAGGGTGAGGTCCTAGAATTTGTTACACGTAGGGCTAAACTTGCAAGAGATCGCATGGCAAAAGTAGAAACTTTGTGACATATCCCGGCTTTTGCAATATAGTTAGAAGCCAACCGAAAAAGCCTTTCAGCACCAAAGGTATTGAAATGCCCAGGAAGCACCTTCTCTACCAGACCTCTGTCCACTAGTTCTATCAGACGTTCGCAGGTTCCAACATAGTCACTTATCCTGCTGTATGGGAGCCAATCAATCAGTGATCCGTCATACACAACGTCTCCACTGAAGAGGATCTTTCGGTCTTTGTCATGTAAGCAAATACTGCCCCTGGAGTGACCAGGCATGTGCATAACAGTGAGCTGTCTGTCACCAAGGTTGATTACATCCCCTACAAATGGAAACAGAGTTTAGAGATAAACATGTTGCATATATGACTTCAATTACCTAAAGCACAGAACATTACATCGTTTCAAAGAGGTTGGGAAGGGTGACACTTATTTTACTTTTATTTTAAAAATATCTTATTTTTTAATGATTTAAAAATAAGTTGCCTATATTTCATTTCTGTTGCTTGTGAGACCAGAGTTTGCTAAAGTGAGTACTGTGAACACTGTTTCTGCAGGTTGCTATGATACATGAGAAGAAGAAAAGAAGATTCTGTGGTCAAATAATTTCAGAAACTCTTCCAAGAAAATTGAGCAGTATTCTTTTCTGCAAGCCTTCTCAGAGCTTTTAATATGCTAATGTATATTGTGATATATATGAGGGAGATATGGTTGTACACTTTCTCAAATTCGTTTGACCACAAAGCTTTTCTTTTTCAGAACATCCATCTGAATTCATGAATGCTGCTCTAGTGAACATTATATTTTTGCCCCTTGTTTTGTCGCCTGTGGGAACTAAGGCTTGAGAAATTGGTACAAATGATGATGCTCTGGTGGTTGCCATTTCTGTGAGTAATAAACTGTCCTTAGTGTCTGTCTCAGGAACCTCATGTCTCCTGTCAGAATCCATGAAACTGGCAGACTAACTTACTAACTTGAAAGGGGGGTAAAATCTCATGCCCCTCCCAGTTATTTGATAGTGGGAGGAAACTGAGCTATCTAAGTGCAAAACTGCTATTTTACTGGTTTAAATAAGTACTAACCTATGTAAAGCATCATAACTGCTATCTCCAGTGCAAATACAACACAAAGAAAAAAATCAAAGAAAGACAGTTACAAAGTTAATAGAAGAATTAAAGTGTAATAATCAGGATTTATTAAACACTAAAGAATACAATAAAGAAGGAACAGAGGGATAATTAAGACATGAGATATAGAAAACAACAAAATGGCAGACCTAATGCAACTAAATCAATAATTACATTAAATATGCGTGGGATAAATACTCTACTCAAAGGCAGAAATTATTAGCCTAGATTTTAAAAAGCAAGACATATGTCAATCTATATAAGAAGAAGCGTAAGGTCAAAGACAAAAATTGGTTTGAAAAAGTTATATATAACATATAAATATTAATTATAAGGGAACTAGAATAGCTATGTTAATATGAGATAAAGTAAGGGTTATTACTAGAGAAAAAGGTACATTATATGAAGATATACATTAGGTCAATACATTAAAAAGTAAAAATTATAAATGTATATGTACCAGCAACAGAGACTAAAAGATGTTTTATCTAAACACTGAAAAAGATAACACTATCAAGAGAAATTAAAGACCTTAACAAAAGGAGAGATACTGCATGTCCATTCACTGGAAGACTCAAAATTGTTAAGATAGTAATTAAATTCAATTTTTCTATAGCTGCAATGTCTAATAGAACTTTCTGAGATTACCAAAATATTCTGTATCAACACTGTCCAATATGGTACCACTAGCTACATGTTGCTAATAGCACTTGATATAAGGCTAGTGTAACTAAGAAACTAAAATTTTAATTTCAATTTTAATTTCAATTTGTATTTAGATAGTCACATGTGGCTAATGGCTTCCGTAATGGTCAGTGTAGATCTATAGACTCAACAGCATCTCAATCAAAATGCTGGAGGTTTTTTAAGAAATTTAAAATCTGACTCTAAAATTTATATAGAAATGCAAATGACCTAGAATAGCCAAAACAGTTTTGAAAAAGAGGTACAGAGTTGAAAGACTTACACTACCTAATTTTAAGAATTATAATAAAGTTACCATAATCAAGACAGCATGGTGCTGGCTATATAATATACATAATTAATGGAAGAGTCCAAAAAGGGACACTTACATATATGGTCAATGGATTTTTGACAAAGGTATCAATCAAGATAATTCAGTGGGTAAAAGGATAGTCTTTTCAACAAACTGGACTGGGGCACTTTGGGTATCCATGTGCAAACAAACAAGTAAAACAACTCTCAACCTTTACGTCACAATATTAACAAAAATTAATTCAAAATGGATCACAAACCTAAATGTGAGAGCTTCTAGAAAAAAATCTTTGTGATCTTGGGCTAGACACAGAGGTCTTATATAGACATAAAAAAAAAACCGTAAAACATAAGGATAAATGACTAATTCGACTTCATCCAAGTTATAAAGTTTCTTGCTTCAAAGAACACTATGAAGAAAATGAAAAGGCAAGCCACACACTAAGAAAAAATATTCACAAATTGCATATTTGATAAAGGACTTGAATTCAGAATACATAAAGATCTTATACCACAATAATCAGAAAACAAAAATTCAATTTTTAAAAAGGAGAAAAGATTTTAATACATCATTTAACAAAGAAGATATTTGAATAGCAAATAAGTACCTGAAAATATGTTCAACATCATTAGTCATTAGGGAAATGCAAATTAAACCACAGTGAAATACCACTACATACTCACTAGAATGGTTAAAATCAAAATTACTTACAAAATCAAGTGCCAACAAAGATGCAGAGAAACTGGAACCTTATATACTGCAGTTGGGAATGTAAAATGGTATAATTACTTTGAAAAACAGTCTGGCACTGTCTTTAAAAATTAGCGTACACTTACTATAAGACCCAGCAATTCTGTTCCTAGGTATCTATCAAGGGAAATGAAAACATGTATCCACACAAAGATGTATATGCAAATGTTCATGGTAGCATTATTCATAACAGCCCCAGACTAGAAAGATTCAAATTTCCTTCAACAGGTAAATAGATATGTTATACCCATAAATGGATTATTTCTAGGCAATGGAAAGGAAAAAATGATTAATAAATACAACAACGTGGATGAATCTCCAAAACATCATGCCAAATAGAATATGGACACAAAGGCTACACATTATACATGGGTGGCAGAAGTAGATTTACAGTTGTATATGAAAGTTTATTCTTGTATTACTATTTATTAATTACTGTGTTATTTCCATATAAACAACTGTTAACCTACTTTTGCCCACCCCTGTATAATTGCATTTGTAGACACTTTTCAGAAAAAATAAACTGTAATAACACAAAACAGATCAATGGGGCCAGACTGGGAGCAGAGATTGTCCTGGACTTGTCTTGAATCCCAATAATTACATTGAGATGGGATCAGACACTCCCCAATTTTCCAGCATTCCAGTCATAAGGGGCCAGATTCCTTTACAGGATAATTGTTCCAGATTTAAGGTGCCTCTGGGGAATCACAAACCACTGCCACTTACTGTATGATTGGCAGGTAAAGAAATTATAGCTAAATTGACTTAATAATCAGTTGGAGACTGATTGTTTAGTAAGTATATAGAAAGGAGGAGAGTGAGGGAAGTTTAATTCTAGAAAAGAAGCTTTGGAGAATTATCAATGTAGAATCTTACTGATCTTCGGTTATGTCAAGGTGATATTCAAAATATTTAGCAACAGAAAAGACATGAGTGCCCACCTATCAACAGATACCAACTGTAAGCAATTGATAAGGCCATAGTGGTTGAATATCATTAGATCTGCCATTACCCTGTGGCTTCATAAATGCCTTCCATATGCTTATAATGCTCACATAATATTAACAAAGCTTTCTTACATGAACCAGAACTGCCCATGAAATGTACACACACACACACACACACACAACCCTTCTAAGCACGCTTGTTAACCAGATTCCAGCCATACTGGAGTTCTCTTGGCTTCTCTTAATACCCTTTCTTATCTTGACATCCCCAACCTTTTACTTTTATTTCATTTTAACCAAAGAAGTATATGTACATATTTCAAATAAAATATTCCAGAAGGTCTTAAATGTAAGAAAAAGTTCTTTGACCCATTCCGGCTCTGTGTCCAATCCTGCTCCCAAGAGGCAACCACTTTTAAGAGTTTTAGCTATTTTTTTTCTGGTAGTTGCCTCTACTAAATGTAGTTATCTTTAAATGATGTTTAGACTCTATTTCCTGATTTACCAACAGGTAAACTGTACTGATTTCATTCATGTATTACCATTTCTTGGTTTTCAAATTTTAGATATTATCTGATGACTTCTACTAAGAAATATAAGGATTTTTAGCTCTCTTTAATCCTCTCTCTCCACCCACGACCACCATACATGTATACATTTCTCATCTTCTCATCCTCCAAAACAGTAAGATTCAACTCTTCCAATGTGGAGCCCTCTATACCTGGAGTACTATCATTGTCAGACTGTAATACTTCGCTGTCATTCTGATTTTTTCTTTCAGTTTTCTCTGGTTTTAGCTCTCTTGTATTCCATGCCTTCCACTTGGTTTACTCCCTTGTTTTGAAGGGAATAAATAGGATAAAGGTATATCTGAGTAGATTCTTAAGTAACAGCATGTAGGGAATACTTTTTTTGAGACTATGGTCATTAGTGGAATGGATGTAGAATTCTAGGTTGGAAATCAATTTTATTCAAATAAGGCATAGCACTTCTTTTCTAGCTCCAAAAGCATTATGACCTCTATAGATAACCTTTTTTAAGTTTCTGGAAGCTTGATTCCCAGTATTCTGAAATTTTACAATAATGGACCTTAGGTTGGATGTGTTTTCACCCATTTTGCTGGGAACTCTGGGTCCATTCAATCTGGAAATTTACATCCCTTAGCTGTGGAACATTTTCTTGAATTACCTGTACTGTGCTTTCTTTTCCTCTGCTTTCTTTAATTCTATCTGTGCTCCTATTATTCCAGTGTTGAATTTTCTAAACTGATCCTTTACTGGTTCTTTCCCAATTTTCATTTTGCCTATCTGCTCTTCTTGTAAGTTTTCAACATTATCTTCTGGATCTTCTACTAAGTTTTTTGGACATTTTAAGAGCCCTTTGTGTGTGTGTGTGTATTGTTCTGTCTGTTGCTTATTTTGAAAGCGTCCTATTGTCTCTTGGATATCTTGAATGCAATATCTTCTGTAGTCCCCTGATGATATTAATGATAGTCCTACCCTCTCAAGTTGCTTCATGCTATCTGTTTTAGTATTTTATCCTCCTTAGAGATTTCCCCAGATTTTTCATGCTCGGTTGCCTATTTAAGAGTAGGGGAAGAAAAGGCTACTTGAAACACAAGCATGGGGCCTAGTGACCTACAGGATTCACTGTAGAAAGATCAAGCCAAGCATTAATTAAAGATCAGCATCTTAGTTCTTTCTCTATGTCTGGCAGGATATCTCAGATAAGATTCTTTTAATCTCCTCCGGAGGGTGGGGTGGGGGGTAAAAGCCTGGCTTTTCTGGGAACTAGTAGGGATACACACACATCCCTCCTATTCTCTGTTCTGAGCCTCTGCACTCAATAGTACTGGGCATCCCTCAATCAAGAAACCTGTTTTACTCTCTCCAGAGAACAAACTAACTGGGTGGGCATTCACTTACAAATAAGGGTTGTAGAGTTTTAACAGCTTTTTAAATGGCTTTCAACCAATTCTACTTATTTTAGTAGTAATCTTCCCTTTGCCCCCACTAAGGTACCAGCTATTGCTAATTCCTTACAAGGCTCCTGCAGTGCAAACTGGATCATCTCTTGATTTCCCATTGCTGGAATAGGATAAAACTGCTAACTCAGTCATCATATTTAGTACTCTCCAGCATTCGAAACAGTTCCTCAGTCAGGCTGGATTTATACTTAAAGTGAGCAAACCATGGTCCCTTTATAGTAGTCTTAGTGGGGTTTTCTTGGGAGTCAAATGTGTTTGTTCAATCAGCTACCTTTCTGTAATCTTTTCATTTTAATTGTCCCCAAATGATTCAAGTCCACCTGAAACAACTGCTCTAATACAAAAGTAGGTTTAAAGTTGTGAGTTTGCAAAACAGAGTTTAGTCTTTATTATTACTATTTATTGTATTATTTTCCATATGAACAACTGTAACCTACTTTTGCCCCACCCTGTAAGTTGATGACTCTAGGCAAATTGTTTAAATATGTATAAGAGCCAAAATGCCTGCACTTCGTATCACTTGAATATTGTCAAAAATAGGCAAAAGGTGTGCCCATTCAAGAAGACTGTGCTATATCAATCGAAGGTTTATTGCTATCTTATTATAGGAAGATACTATTTCACTAGTAGTAGAGCGAGTTGTTTTTCCATCAAAGATGACGCACTGTATGATGATCTCTCCTTGTCCCTCATTTATAAGTCAGCTTTTGCATTACTAATACAGTTTACAGATTTATGTTTCCCCAATACAGATGATCATCAATTCACTTAAATGAAATGTAATAAAATAATGACTGTAGCTTTCTTATGTTCTAACCAAAACAATGAAGACTTTATGCTGTTCGGGTGTGTGCTGTTGATGTGCGTGTGTAACTGTGTATGCATTTATAATATAAATATTTTATATCTCCTTCCAGGCATCAGGATTATGATAATAGCAAGTTAGCAGACCACACCATTCGAAAGAGACAGGAAATTAATATTCCCCAGAAAAGAGAAAATTAGATACTACTCAAGAGTGTGAGGCATTCAACTCTAAAAACACACACAAAAAAACCCTCTTGATTTAACACAGTATTATCACCTTCAAAGTGTTTAGTTTTCTTTTCACACCTTCAAAGGCTTAAAGCACCACACAGGTAGCTTGTAGGCCCCTTGCAGTTCCAAAATGCTTTAATTATAATTATAAAGCTATAATTCTTCCATCAACTGGTATTCAGGAAACCTGGATTCTAGTCCCAGCTCTTTTCCAAAGTGGCTGTGTCCATGTGGCTATTCAGGGCTGCTGGGACCATTCATCCATAAAACAGTTATTTCCATCACTCTTTCACCACTGATTTTCTATTTCTGGCAGAGAGCAAACGTAAATAAAAGTAACTTATTCATTTAAACAAATATATTTTAAATACTAATGTCAATATTTTTTGGTTTGGATGCCAGAAAAATTTAGTCTGAATACCTGTGAACTGCATGGAAATCTTACCTCTAAAAGTATTAATTTTATCAAGCTATATAGTAATTAAAAGTACATTTAATGTAATGTCCTTTTACATTACTATATATTAAACAAATTTACATTAAATGTACTTTTCTTTCATCTCAAGTTGTTAGGTAACATAAGACTCGCATCTAAACCAGGTTTTTTAAAAAATCTTTAATGAAATCTTTAAATTTTTAATGAAAATACTTTTTGGGTGGGGTATGAGGTATAGAACGTGCTTTCTGTTTTTTTATATTTCAAGTGATCAGGATCTCATCTGTAAAATAAAATGAATTTTGTAAAATATTTCATTATTTGTCATACTGGTCAGTCATAAAGTGAGCCTTATTGTACTGCAGCAACTGGATTTTTCTACCTCATCGAAGAATGTTTTCACAAATTAAAGTGGCAATAAAAATGGTTTCAAGAATAGAATGGAAAAAAACGGGTTTCACATTCTACTCAGAATTACCAAAATGTATTTATGGGGTAGGATTTATATATGATCTGCATGCTTTGATCTGTTGTGCCTTGGTTCAAATCCTAGCTTTTGCCAGTCTTGCTCTGTATGCTCTGGGCATGCCATTTAATTGGGGGTCCACCGGCTCACTTCAAATGTGTTGCGAGGATAAAGTGAAGTCAACAAAAGTATTTTAAAAAGAATAAAGGAAATTAACATACAAATATTGCTCCTGTGTAATTCGCTCAATTATTTAAGTACCTGCATGGGGTTGGGAGGACTGGGGCCCTACTCTTATTCCATCAGTTTCTCTCTAAACCCCATCCTATCTTTCACAGAGCGAAAGAGGCCCAAGGATAACCTATACATTAGCCCATAGAAATAAGCTTCGTATTAATCTTTCTCAGGCCTTGTTTTCAACCAGACTGGGTATCTGTCATAGTGTAGACTCAAGACACATTCTACTTTTTGTGTACCCTATGGAGATTTTCCTCTGGTGAGGCCACATCAAGAACAGAAATCTATCTGGATGAGGAGGAGGCCCTAGCAGACGGGAACCACAGTTCTCTAATGGCTTTCTAAGCCTACAGGTGGGGACTGCTCACAGTCGATGGTCACGGAGCAGGTGAAATCAGCAGCCCTCAAAAGCACAGAGCATCACATGCACTCTGTGAGGCATCATTCTTTAAACGTCGTCTCGCTGGAAAAGCGCCTGGAAATGTCAGACAGGGTTTCGGGAAAAGAATGGAAAATTCCTGGTCGGAAGTGCAGCGCTACCGTACCTTACACGGGAAACTGACTAGGGGTGGGGCCGGCTTTCATTCGAGAACCCAGCGTTGCCACTCGGTGCCAGAGCTGGTCTCCGGTAGGGAAGGCTGCGATGGCCTCGGTTCTGGTAGAGTGGGCTTTTACTCAGGGACGGGAGGGGGGAAAAGTGGCGTTTCTGCGATGCGACAAGCCCCGTACAGTCACGCACATCTGCAACATGCATCCCTTGGGCAGTTTCTTCCCAATCCCCTCCCTTAATGAGAAAGCGCGGCCCGTGAGGGCCCATTACCATCCTGCAGGATGAGGCTGGGCTGCACCGCCTGCACTCGGAACTGCCTGGCCCTCCAGCCGGGGCTGGGCGCCCGCACCACCTCACTGTCGGACAGCCAGGTCACGGTCTCAAAGTTGTCCCCGCGAGCCAGTGCCTCGGCCTCGGCATGGTGCACGGCCACCCGGTCAAACTGGTAAAGGCCGCCGGAGTGGTCGAAGTGCACGTGGGTGGCCACGGCCAGCAACGGCCTGCAGGCCGCGTCCTCTTTGGCCCCGCCGTCCTGCAGGAGGCCGGAGGAGTACAGGTACTCGGGCAGGCTGCGCAGCCCCAGGCCCGTGTCGATCACCACGTCCTGCTCGGAGCCGCGCACCAGCCAGATATTGGCGCGGTTGCCCGACTCGTAGAAGCGTTCTTGAATCCAGAAGACGCCGTCGCCCAGGGACTTGTGGGCGTACCACTCGAGCGCCGACATGCTGGGCAGGGGTGCGGCTGGGGGCGCGGAGGTGGGCGTGTGTGCCTCCAGCAGGCTGTCCGGACTCGAGGTGCGGCGGCGGCGTGGGGCGACCTGCCCGCAGCCCGGGAGGAGGCGCAGAGCGAGGAGGAGGCGGGGATGGGATGGTGCGAGGAGCGGGAGGAGGGTGGGGAGAACTAGGAGGAGGAAGGGACGCGGAGACGCTGCCCGGAACGTCCGCCCGCACTCTCCCGCCGGGCCGCAGAGAGCAGAGGCTGCCCTGCCCACACCGGGGCGCCCGAGCTGTCGCAGCCTCCGTAGCCGCAGCGCGAGGGCGTGTGAACGCGGGGGCCAGCGCAGCCGACCGCAGAGCTGGGAGGGGACACTCCCCCACCGAGGGGGCTCGGACTGCAGAGGCGCAGCGCCAGACGTGGGATGCACCTGGCCCGCCCACCCGCCGCGCGCGGGCTGCGCACTTCCACCGGCGCAGAGGGCCGGACCCAGCGGGCTGGCCGACTACGGCGCCCGCCAAGGGCTAAAAAGCGTTCTGCCCAGCGGGCGGGGCCTCCCCGTGGTGGGCGGGGCTAGCTGGCTGCGCTCGCATCTCGGCTGCGGGGCCGCGTGGAGGGTGCTCTTCTCCGAGGAGGAACCGCGCCGGGCGCAGGCGCCTCCTGCCGCATCGGTTCTTGGCCGGCCGGCGCTTCGCTGGCACAGTTTTGCCCAAGCCTCGATTCTTAGGGAGCAGGTAACAGAAGCAGCCCTTGAGGACTTGGGAGGAGATGGAGAGGGTAGAAAGGAGTTACAGGGGCACATCGAGAAGGGGGGGAAGTCAGGGTGGAGATTCATGAAAGCGCCTCTGGGTTGAGGGTTGTTGAGAGAAACCTTTACCTCTGATCCCTTCAGAAATATTTTTAAATCGTTTCCAGGGCCTGTTTGCAGTGAGAAAGGAATTTGTGCTCTTACTGATGGTAGATTTTCAAATCCGGTGACGGATTGATTCAGGCACGAATCATTGCCGCAGACTTTTCTTCACTGTTGGCGCTTGAGCCTGTATCTTGGGGAGAGGTGTTGTTAATAAGGTTTTTCTTCTCTTCCAAAAAATTAAATTCTATATTCTTTATTCAACCCCCCCCCCCCTCTTTTTTTTGGTTAGTTTGTTCACTCTTGGAAGAGAGCAAAGAAAGTTAGTAGAAAGGTTCAACTAAGGCAAGTGAGGGCAGCCACACTTTGTGAGGACAGAAAAAGTGCCTAATAATTGGGTGTAGCCCTGCCAGCCACATAAATCACCCCCACCATTAACAACAGGTCACCCTGCACCTCCCAGCTGTTGAAACATTCAGAAATTCCCTTGAGAACTTGACTAACCTCCAGAGACCCATGAGACAGCATTATAAAGGGTAATTATGAAAACCCTTATCGTGGCATCTACTAAAAAGCTTTCAGACAAGGATAGGTGTGCTCTTCTCCCCTAGACTCCTAAAGCTGTTGGTGGGGATGCAGCCTTTTTTAACATGTTCCTAACCTACTTAGAATTTTTCCTGTCACTCTGTTCAGGGCTATCCTTATGTGCAAGTCCCTGAGCTAGATGATGTGTGGAGAAAGTCATGATCTGGGTTCTCAAGAATTTTCCGGAAGACTGGGGGGTTGCATAAAATCTCTACTGTTAATACAGTCAAAGAAACAAACAAACAAAAAATATAAGTGAAACTCCTTCCCTTTGGAAAAGGTCCATTTCCCAAAAGGGGCATCTCTATATTTCCCACACGTGCCCCAACCGGGGATCGAGCCTGCAACCTAGATATGTGCCCTGACCGGGAATCGAGCCCGCCATTGTTTGGTGTGCAGGACGACACACCAACCAACTGAGCCACACCAGCCAGGGCGATGGGCTGCTTGTTCTTCAGACCCCCGCCCCCAAGCTTGTGGCTTCCCCCTCTGCACTTGCTGTTTCTCTCTGTAATCATCTCCACCCCATCCCTCCTAGTGGCTCACGGGCCTTCTCCAGCATACTAGTCAGATTTCTCATCCACAGAAAGACCTTCCTTGTATGAAAAAGCCACTACCATACTCCTGTGTTATTTTCTATCCCCTACCCATGATTTATTTTTTTTTCAGAGCTGTATTGATTTCCTAGGGCTGCCATAACATAGCACCACAAATTGGATGGCTTAAAACAATAGAAATTTATTCTCTCATGGTCTGGAGGCCAGAAGTCTGAAATCAAAGTGTGGGAGGGGTTTGTTTCTTTTGGAGGCTCGGAGGGACTGTATTCCATACCTCTCTCCTGGCTTCTGGTGTTTCCTGGCATTCTTTGGTGTTCCTGGCTTGCAGCTGCAGCACTACCCATCTCTGCCTCCACCTTTACATGGTGTTTTTCCTGTGAGTTTCTCTCTGTCCAGATTTCCCTCTTATAAGGAAACCATTCGTTGGAAGAGGACACCCTGGTTCAGTATGACCTCATCTTAATTTCATTACACCTGCAAAGACTTTATTTCCAAATAAGGACGGTCACAATCACAGTTATCAGCAGTTAGGACTTCAACATCCTTTTGGAGGGGACATCCAAAGAACAGATAATATTATGTTATAAACTTATTTACTTACTTCTTTGTGTTTCTTTCCTCCATTGAAATTTAAGACCTAAGGGAAGCAACCAGTTTTGTTCAGTGCTGTCTGGTTCCTGACACAGTTCCTGGAATGCTGAATATTGGTTGAGTGAATGACTCAGTGAAACTGGCCCTTATGAAGTGAAGGAAGATTTGGATAGAAAATGAGGAAATCTGGTTTAAAAAAAAGCCTTCTTTCAAAAAGTTTGGCAGGGTGAAAAAGAAACAAAGCAATTGTTAAGTCAACTTAAAGGATTTCAGAGAGTGCTGCTTAGGCATCACTTCTGAGCTATTTTTCCCATGAGATAGTTACCAGAGTCAAGGGACTGCCCCTCAGCTCTGCAAGAGAAGAAAAAATGAATTTAGCAGCTTCTCCAGGTACAGGAGAACTGACTCATGATAACCAAACGAAAAAGAGATGGATTTGTAGGCCAGAACACCGTGTAATTATTAAGGGTGTCTCAAGAACTAGGACTGATTTTTATGCCGAGAGTAGTACATTCACTAATGATAGCACTTATACATCCAAAGGTTGCTTGATAAAAACAGAAGTTTAGAGGCAGCCGAGTTTGACATTTCTCAAGGAATGGTCCAAGCAGCGGTAGCTAATAGACTCTCTTTTTAGGGTGAGTTTTCCAACTACTTCCCAGGGCCCACTTCCAGAGATTCTGGTGTAATAGGTTTGAGGACTTGAGGATCACTTGGGACTCTGTTTAATAAGTCTTCCAGGTAATTGGCAAGTTTGGGAGACATTATCCAGAATTGTTCTTAATCTTTATTTAGTGGCAAATCTTGGACTGGAATTCTGCCTAGTAGTCTTGGCCACACGTGTCTAATGGGCCCCCACAATTTGTTTCTTAGAGTCAAGGTGCGAGCCCTTCTGCTTAGCAATTTGCATACTTGGCCGACCTTCCTTCTGTAAGCTCAGCATATGCTTTAATGACTCAGCAATTGAAACAAGGCCATTTGGATATTTTTCTTCTCTTAGTATAGACAGCTGAAATGAGATCGCTTGTTAAAATAAGCACCTTTCCTATATGAATTGTGTTTCATAGTAACTAAATAGTGGATGAGAGGACTTGATCTCTGGTAGAATTTCTGTTAATAAGTACAGAAATAATGATAAAATTTGTATACCACCACTTTGCTATCCATAATAGAAAAATGGATCTAGGCTATGATCATCAATGGCTGCTAAAATCATCATGCCAAAACTGAGGGGAACTTTATACTAGATGAAACAGACTGACAGCACCTGAACCCAATGACCAGAGAACATCACCAGGACAGACACTTCATGTGCATCCTGGTGTGGTGCAGTAGGAAAGCAAGCATCTCTTTTAAGTGTTCTTATAAAAAATCAAACCCAAATTTGACTAAGTCTCTAGTCCACCTGTTTACAGAAAGTACAGGGAATAGAGGAATGTGTTAAACCATATCTCATGTATGCAATCTTTCAAATCCAAAGTGTGGGACAATGTACAGCCTTGCTACTCTCCAAGTGTGGTCTGCACACCAGCAGCATTGATATCTCCAGAGAGCTTATTGGAAATGCAGATTCTCAAGGCCAACTGAGTCAGAATCTGCATTTTAACAAGGTAATTCACGTGTGCCTTCAAGTTGGAGAAGCATTGTATGTGCAATGACCTCGTTTTTTTAAGTAAATAAATAAATGGCAAGGGGAAAATGGGAAGGAACTATTACAGTGGTATGGGAGAGGGGATATTACTGATTTTTGAGCTTATAGGGTTGAATGATACTCAATATTATCAGTGGGAAAAGATATTTTAAAAGGGTGTATTAGCCCTGGCCAGTGTGGCTCGGTTGGTTGAGCGTTGTTTCGTACACCAAAAGTTGGCATGTTTGATTCCAGGTCAGGACACATACCCACGTTTCGGGTTTGATCCCCAGTCGGGGCATGTAAGGGAGGCAACTGATCACTCTGTCTTTCTCTCTCTCTCTCTTTGTGTCAAGTCAATAAAAAACATATCCTTGGGTGAGGATTTTTTAAAAAGCCTATTTAAGAGTATGTATTATCTTCACTGCAGTCAAATGCAGAGTTGTAGTGAAAGATCCTTAATGTAGGAATCCCTGTTAATATTACTGCTGGCTCAGTTATCACATTATAGTGTGATCATGTTTTAGACAATTCAGATGTTCAGTACAGAACTTGAGTATGTGACATCTCTACTGTCCCCAAAGGTGAAGACAGTACAGGTTCATTCTGCCTTTAACAATTTCAATTTCAGGTGTTTTTCTCTGAACTTATTTACTTATGTTTTTGCTTGGACAGACATCTTCAGAGTCTTATTGAGCCCATCCCCATTTCTAAAGGGAGGACACTGGACTTGATCTCAAGGATCTTTTCTAACATTCAAATTCTAGGATAAAAAAAATAATCATTTACAAACTTTGTGTATGACTGCTGACAGTCTTCACGTTGAATGAGAAAGCAAAGTGTCCTCTCTTCATCAGCCTGACCTTTCCTTTTCCACATTTTTACATGTATCAAGATCTTGCCAAACCACAGGAGTGGAGAAAATTGCATCAACTGGCTGTGCAGTGGTTGGGGCAGCGTCTTGAAGGAGCCCTAGGGTTCAGCCTCCACCCAGGACCTACTGAGGTAGTTGAGGCCATCGGCAAACACGACTAGATGTGAGGGGTTCAGGAGTCAGCTTGTCACATGCTTATTTCTTTACAAATTTTGCTTCCCAGAAGTGTTTAAATTGGCCATGCTACGTAAGGGGTAGAGTGTATTTTGCTTTAAAATGTTGGTTTTATTTTTTATATGATCCCATAAATCTTAATCATTAATAGTGTCTTTCAGAATTTGCCCACTTTTCTGGTATAACTGGTTGCAATGGCTGGGAATAAAGGAAGAGGGCGTGCTGCTTATACCTTCAATATCGAGGCTGTCGGATTTAGCAGAGGTGAAAAGTTACCTGATGTAGTATTGAAGCCACCCCCACTGTTTCCTGTAAGTACATTAACAGCGGATTCTCACAGAGTGTTTCTCATGTTTCAGAGAAAATTAAAATTCTGTATAGGACTTGAATATATGATATCCTGAAGTGTAAAAAAGTAAGAGCATGTTTCACTTACCTTGAAATATTTCCACTGTTCTTCTCTGAACCTTTTCTGATTTTCAGACTGCTTTCTTAAAATACAGAAAATAAAACTATATACATATCTTTCCATGAATAGATTCAGAACTGTGTGAACTAAGAAATAATTTTTTTAATTCATGCATCTTACATTGCTGTTATTGATATGTTACATCATTAAAATATTTTTTAAAGCAGAAGTTTTACAGTGGTCCTCAGTTCCCACGCTACCAGATTTTAATGATCTTCTTTTCATCTTGCATCAATAGAATTTAAATTTGCTCCCTACTCTACCATTTGGCCTTTTTTCCCCCACTGAACTTTTTTTCCTTATTTCCATATTTTATTAAAATGAATTTAAATTTCATTATTGTTTCTCAAAATATAAGTGCTTTTACTCTGTTTAGTAGAAGCTTTTAAATTTAATGCATATGCTGCAAGCTTAATTGGCATAATGTTTAATGCTTTCACTTTATATTTAGTTTAAAATGTAAGCTTATATTTCCAGATGTGCATGTGCTGCAGTATAAAAAAATGAAAAAATCATAAATTACCAGATACTCCCTCCAGGAATTTTTTTTCCTATTTCAAAAGGAAAAGTTCTTTGTTGAAAGATTTATGTAAGTAGAGGACCTGGACAAATATATCTGGGCATCTAGATGTCTCACATAGGGAGTCTACTTTTTGCTCTTCCATGTGTGAGATTACTTCTAAACACTGGGACTATTAGTACATACCATTGTTTTTATACATGGAATAAAACTGAAATGCCTTACTACTGGCTAAGAGGCTCTGTCTGATCTGGCCTTTCTGATGAATCTCTGACCCTTTCCCTACCACACTGTTCCCCTTCCCTAGCCTTCCAGGCCTCCTTGTTCCCTCAGGCATTTTCCTCTGCTGGTTTCCCTGGCTGGTGCCATCTGTTTCCCATATCTTTGCATGGATGGCTTCCTAATTTTATCCAGCTCTCTGCTTAAACATGATTTCCCTGAGAGGTCATGCATGCTTACCCTGTGTAGACCAGCTAGCGCCACCCTCTATGTATTCTGTCAGTCACCCTTTCCTCTTCCCAGCTTCATTTTTTTCATAGCACCTATCACTATCCAAAACTATATATTACCTCATTTATTTACGCATTTCGTTGAGTTTTTCTCCCGTAGAATGTAAGTTCCAGGAGAGCAGAAACTTTGACGAGTTCATCATGGTAACTCCTGTTGTCTAACCATGTCTGGCTTATAGAAGGCATTCAATAAATAGCTGTAGAATTAATGAATAAATTTGGAGTAAAATTTTGAAAATATATCCTACTCTTAGCCCCTGAAACCAGAAATGCCTTTACTTTATATCCCAAGGATCCACTTTTTTATCAATATATATAATGAATACACACACACACACACATACGTCACGTGTGTGCATGTAATTTTTAAGATTGAAGATGTAGTTTCAAACTCCTGCTTTGCGTGTTCTTTGGGCTTACAGATTGTTCACGTCTCAATTTCTTCACTTTAAAATGAGAAATATTGATGATATTTTAAAGGAGATCATAGATGTTGAATACTGAGTACATCCTCGTCAGAGTAACCACTTGTTAAACAATAGCTGCTACTATTACATATTTTATGCTACTACTCCAAATAGCACCACCACTACCGACTGAGGTTAATAGAAGAGGAAAGTAGTTACTCTAATTTGGGTCCCTTGACTTTTAAAATATGGAATCACAGTAAACAGACTTGTATAGCAAAATGATTATTTTGTCATCAGGAAAATGAGGGCCAATAGGAAAATAACCATCTTTCCTACCTCTAAAATAAGGGCAAATGGGCTACAGGTTAAATAGATTACAACTCAACATTTTTTAAGTTGATTGTAGAACTTATTACCTATAAAATGTAGTTTTTCAATAAAACTGGGATTTTCCAGAATTTAGGCAAAAGGGATATTAAAATATTTAATTTATTTTTTAAAAAGTCATTGTCTCTTAAACAGGATATAGATTATAAACCAGTGCCACTGAAAACAGGAGAGGGTGAAGATTATATGCTGGCCTTGAAACAGGAGTTGAGAGAAACTGTGAAAAGAATGCCTTATTTTCTAGAAACACCTGAAGAAAAACAAGGTGTGTATTGGACTCTGATTTTGTAGTTTCGGGTATACAGATGAAGCAATGCTTTGGCACAAGACATATGGTCATTTAGTACTGATTGATTTGATTCAGTTGGAAATTATCAACAACCTTGAAAACACATATTTAAGTTGATTTAACAGAAAATATTTTTTTAATATTTTATTTGTAAAATTACCTTTCACAATAGAAGTTTTATATGCTCAGTAAAAATGATGAAATCAAAAAATATTTTAAAAGTGAAAATCATCTATAATGTTTGTCTAGATTAAAATATTATATTGTATGTTCCTGAAATTTTTCTTTTGTATGTGTATTCTTTTTACAAAATTGGATTCATATTACTTTGTATCTTCCTTTTTTACTCAATAGAATATTATTAGCATTTTTACATATCCTTAGTATTCTTGGAAAATATGATTTTCAATGACTATGTGGTATTCCATTGTGGATATAACATTAATTGTAACTAATTCCCTGCTATTAGATTTAAGGTTGTTTCTCATTTTTTTCTCATAGAATGCCATGATTACTATCCTTATACATAAATCTTTAAGCAGGTCTCTGATTATTTCATATTATGGTTAAAAATTTTAAATGCCTTCTCCATATTTTGGCTTATTTATGTATCAGCTATAATAGAATACAAAACACATGTTCATTGGTTATGCTAAGGACAGAGAGGATATTCAGTTGGAGAAGGCTTGCCAGTCTCATACTGGAAGTGGGAAGTGGTTTCAGAGGAAGGGGTCCTATTCCTGAATGGTTATTTAGCACAGTAGACCTATTTTGATTTTCAGTCTCTGCCCTTGAATGTTGAAATTAGAGTGATCAATATCATTCTTGAGTTCTCAAAACAACATCATTAAAACATGAGAAATTCATATAGGATCATCTCATTCCATTAGTAATAAAAATGCATTCCATTTTCCCTCTCCCTGAAAGACAGAATTGGCTAAGAGTCAAAAAGGAAGTCTTATATAATAATATTTTATTACATGTGCTTGTAATTATAAGAAGCCTTTTAGACCAGTTCATTTAATTTTTTAAAACATAGCTGTTTGAAGTTATGTAATGGTTTGATAAGAGATCATTTTACCTCAAAAATACTAAATTTTTTTAACTTTCATGATTATGTTGTATGCTTTTATTTCTTTGAGTTGAAAATGAAATTAAAACTCATTTAAAAATTTTTAAAAAGTAACACTAAATGAACTAATAAATATTCTTATTAGAAAATAATAGTGTAAAAACACTTTTACACTATTTTAAAATTAGTCTTTTCTCTAGACTGCAGGACAGATTTATTTAACTAGATGTGCTTGTTATTAAAGCACATGTCTAATTTAAAAGTGTATCATAACATTAAAGTATTTATGTGAGTCTTTTAGGCACATTAAGAACATAATTTTGTTGCTGGTCTCTGGGAGTGGTTGGTTTGTACCTGGATCAAGAGGCTCTTTGTCTTTTATAACTACACAATAAAATATTTAAAAATACAAGGAATCTTTTGCTTCTCTTTTTCCAGGAGAAAACTCTTGTATAGGATTTTCTAAATTGATACAAGAACATTCTCCTTGAAATCTTCATGTTTACCTCTCTTTCCTGATGTAATCTGTTTGTTTGTTTTTTAAAAAAAGTATGGTTGAAAATAAAGGGTTTTTAAATATAATATATACATACATATGTGTGTATATAGGTTAATAAAATACATGCTGTATTTAGGCATATATGTGTATATATACACACACACATATAATGTTTATATACTATACACCAAGAATGAAAAAGAATTGACCAGAGTGAATGGAAGTAAACAGCTGTGAGAGGGAGATAATTCTAGATAGTGTTACGTCACTGCACCTTCACCAGCCTTCTTCCATCACTCGCTACCTATGTGCTTTAGGAAAGAGAGACTAATGTAAGGAACTAAATTACTAGAGACTAGAGCAAACAAATAGGGTGGGAGATCTCAAGAATTCCTGATAGATAATCAAGTGCCTGGTGGTTCAGGCCATTGAAATTTGTCAAAAAAAAAAAAAAATGAGGGCACAGAATAAACATTTCATGTTGTGATGTCTTCAAGGTTTGTTTATAATGTTTTCAGATAGAATTATAAAAGTGATTGGTATTTTCTTTACAATGAAATTTATTATTTTTATAATAAAGGAAAAACACCAATGAATATTATTATTTTATTGAATTTTAGCTGCAAAGGTACCTAGAGATCTCTGGTCCAGTGGTTCCCAGCTCAGGTTCCTGAACGACTGAGATAGAAATAGGAGTGACAGAGGTGCTGGTTCTGTAAGCCTTTTCAGAACTTAAACCTCAATGCAAGTTATACATTTACCTACAATATGGCCACAAGGTCTTTTACTGAATAAATGGAATTTGTTTTGACTTTTGATATACCATCAGGCTCCATGTGACCCTATTTAATTTTCATTTCGTTTTTAGCAGTTCTTACTGTATGTAATTATTGATATTCATAACTTTTATTTATTTTTTCATAGCTTCCAAAGAACAAAGAGATTTACTTTAAAAAAATTTTTAAAAACCACCTTATTTTTTCTTAGCATTACCATACCTACTCATTTGATCCTTTTATTAATCTAAAATACATTTGGGAATCTTAGTGATCTTATTTTTCCTGCCTTGAAACATTTGGGTGTTTTATCATCATCATTCATCCATTACTCCCCACAATGCTGAACAAAAAGACTAAAATATAAAAAAATAGAAGAATGGTAAACTTGCATAAAAGGATTATGCAATATTGAAATAAATTATCAATCACTATTACATCATCCTTTAGTTTTCCTACTGTGTTGCCCGAAGTGTTACATTAATTTTTAAGAGGATATAAAAGAAGTCTGGAGAGACTCTTGTCTTTGTAGTTGTTTTGTTTTTGTTTTAGCTTTTATAGAATGTAATTGAGAATTTAAAATTTTTTATTTTCTTCTCATAATGGCAAAGAGAAGAAAATTGACAGGAAGATGTTTCATGATTACTAGACAAATCAGGAGATGAATGCAGAGACACAGAAAGCGGCTCTCTGGTTGCTAATGATAGTGGTGAAATTGATGGTGTAAGCAAAATCTCAGACCGAGTCTTCAGTTGACAATATCCTTGATGAATTTTCTCAAACTCTAAAATCAAGTAAACAATATCTTTCTAAGAATAAGAAGGAAGTATGGTATTTATATGTAGTTAATCTTTGAAAAGCTTTTCATTACATATTTTGTGATAATCTGGAACATCCTGTTTGCTAAAATGATATGTGACTATATTTTTTTCTTTTTTGTGATATTAATGTACCAAAATTTATTTGATGTAGTTTGTAACTGGACAAATGCTGAGGGCAAAGACAAAGATGATTGAAAGGAACTAGATTATGTAGAAATTAAACAATTTAATGGATTGATCATGTTAACTGGTAATCATAAATTTAATAATGAAAATGTTTTGCAGTTATAGACTAAAGAAGATAGCTGACCCATCCATCCTCTCTTCAAAAATGTGAGCCATCAAAGTCTTTTAAAGTATTACATTTTGATGGTGCAAGTACAAGAACACTTGGAAGTAATGATAAGCTAGAACCTGTTAGGAATTCATTTATAATTAGAATCACCAGAAGTAATGTTAGTATGTATTAAAGATGTATTTGAAATCTGCAATCAGGATATATGAAATGCAAGTAATCAAGGTTTGTGCATGATAAACTGAGAATGCACAACTGATATACAGTTATCTGCACTTAAAGAATGTTGCCCATTTTGGGTAAATATACCTTCAATACCAGGAAAATAGTGGAATATAATTAAGTTCAGTTAATTTATTAAAAATTCCAATAATTGTCATTCTTTTTAAATAACAGCTTTATTGAGATAATATTCACTTTTTAAAGTATACAGTTCAGTGGCTTTTAGTGTAGTTACAGAATTGTGCAACCATGCTGCTATCTAATTTTTAGAAGCTTTTTATCACCCTGAAAAGAAACCCCATACTCAATAGTATCACACCCCCATTCTCTCCTCCCCGAGCCCACTGCATCCATGAAGAAAAATCAGTACATATTTGGATCTTGACTTTTATATTTTCATCTTTTTTATTACCTTCCGTTTTCCATGGCTATACTCCAAAACCACTTTTTATGATGAACCGTGGTTTCACCATACTGCGTGATGGTGGTGCTTGGGCCCTCATCAAAGGCGTTTCTTGTGGCAAAGTGGGCAAAGCAGAAGCAAGAGACACAGTCGTGGCTCTTCCAGTTCTGGCAGGTTCAGAAAGTCCCTGCAGAATTCTTGGTAGCTGACGTGGAAGGCTTGCAGCTCGCTCACTCATGGCCCCAAGTCCAGCCTGGCCTACGCCTCCCCTTTTTGCCACCCCTCCCCAGTGCATTGAAAGATGGCTCAGGGGGACGCCTCACTGAACATGCTGAAGGTGAGCAAGCAGCCGCCATCCTTCCTGAGGTGCTTAGTACATCGCAGTTACACAAGGTTTAAAGATTGGGAGCCGGAGGCCAGGGTGGGCAGAAGAAAGCAGAAGATGCCCGGTAGACCTCCTTTCCCTTGTATGTAAGTGGCTTCCCGACGTGGCTTTGGGCTTTTGTGAACATCCTCATAGATGAGTCAGGTTGTCTGATTCTAAGAACTATAATTAAGGTTTAGGTTTTGCTCAACTCCAGCCATTCATACGCAGCTGCTGCTTGCCACTTTCTTAATGTTTAGTAGTGCTCATTAAACAATTCAGTATGGATTCAGGAATGCATTACATGCAAATGTAGGAAGCTCCCTAAATGTAAAGTACAAGGTATCTGGTGTTTTCACTTATTTTAAAGGAATGGCTTAAATTCAGGTTTATTCTTGATTTTTCTAATGAACACTTTTTTCTTTTTTTTTCTAGATATTGAAAGGTATAGTAAAAGATATATGAAGGTGTACAAAGAAGAGTGGATACCAGGTAATTATAAAACTGAAAATGTTAAAATAATATTTAAAGGCTATTTTTCCTACCCTATATTTTCATAGGACAAATTTTCTCTTAAATAGAATCTAGAGTTGAATAGAATCTATCTCTTTTCCTGCAATTAGTAATGTATATCTTATGAAAATTAAGATGAAAAGATTTTTATACAGTAATAAGAGAGAGTTGAACTATTTTGTGGAAGTTCTTAAAATACTTTTTAAAAATAAACTAGGACTTGCCAGACTCATTTGGGTTTTCCATTTTCATTTGCCACAATCACAGTTTCAGACTGTAGTACCAATAGTGCTCAGTTCTGTGCTCCTGCGTGATTCTATAGCTTTTGAAGAAAAAATCTAGTGTTAAAGACTATTAAGCTAAGCTCATGGATCTTCCTTTCTTTCAAGCAGACATAGACTATTTTTAGTTGTTAAGATGCCTTTTCAAAAGGACCATACCTAAGAGGGTTTTTTCCCTCAACATTCACAAGTTTGCATTGGATATAGACAAGGTGGAAGGGGCTGGAGAGATCTCATCCAGCTCATTTATTTTGCAGATTTAAAAAAAAAAAAAAGTTGCCACTGAAATGAAGTGACCTGTCAGGGCGACTTGGATAGTGCTACTAGAACCCAGGTCTCCTCATTTTAACTCACTTTCCTTGACATGTCTGTCCTTGGTGTTTCATAGAAACCGCCTTCATGTAAAAGCATAAATGGCATTTATAGTATTATTGCTTTCGTGAGTTATAGTGCTTTTTCTTTTCAGTGTTGATTGGTCATTGATAAGGTTGGGTCCCCTGGAAATACTCTCTTAGATCTCTCATTTCTTCCACTTCATAAATATTCATCTTCTAAATAATTCTTTTTACATACTGTCTCATGATCATCTATGAATTGTTTATAAAATATATATATTCAAATTATTTAGGTCAGGTAAAATAGCTTGAGATGTAGTTTTCTACAAAATACACTGAAGGTTTTATTTATTTTTTAATTAGCAGACAGCATATTTTAATCCATTTTTATGTTGCTTCATTTTTCTGATTGCTTCAAAATTAAAAGGAAGTGACAAATTAGAGGAATTGTTTAGCTATGTAGGCAAAATTGTTTGTTGGAGGGAATTTACTTTTCCACAGCTATTTATATTTTAATTTTAAAGTTTTTAGATAATAGAATTATTTGTTTAATTTTGCATGTGTTGGGATTTTGCTCATGTATTTTATCTTTTGAAAAAAATCCTTTATTACATAAGAAATACGTATCAATTACAGAAACATTATAATATACAGAATAGTCAAATAAATAGATAAATAATACTTAAGGAAAACAGCTGTATTCCAAACACCCACAAAGAATTACTGTAATATTTTGTTCTCAACCTACAACTTTCTCTGCACAAGTTGTGTGTGTGTGTGTGTGTGTGTATACAAGGTGGGGCAAAAGTAGGTTTACAGTTGTTCATATGGAAAATAGTACCATAACTAATACTACAAGAACAAACTGCACTCACACCTGTAAACCTACTTTGCCCCACCCTGTATAAATATTTATATGCTAGGTTTATTTACTTATTTTTTCAAACTGTAAGAGAAAGTTTATTTAGAAAGTCACAGAGGTAGAAGTGAGCTGTAGAATAAATGGGCTCAGGGAACAGTTACAGAAGCAAAAGAAGGGCCCTTGGAGCTTAGAAGAGAGGGGTAAAGGTCACATGCCTGCAGAGAAGTGGAGGGGTTCAAAAAGGCGAGGAGGGAGAGCGTGCTTATGCTAGGATTATTTTTAAAGGGGATTCTATAAATATTGTTTAAAAAAACTGTTTTATTCAACAATATATCATGAATAACTTTTTACGTCTACTCATTCCCAAAACTTTTTATGTAGAAAATTCTTTTCTACATTTTTCTTACTATGACAATTTCTCTCTTTAGAATTGATTTTATAAATGTATTTATAAATAGCTGTTAAAAGAATGTTTTAGGAATTTTATAGCACTATTTCAAAGCTATTTTAATGAACATTTTTTCATCATAGGAGAAAACACATTATTGTGATATTCTGATTCCCAGGCTAAATCAGTACAATCAGATATTAAGAACTTATATTTTCATTGCTTGAGCAACCATTGTATTTTTTAAATAGTTATGTCCAGTGCTGCTACTTTGTAGAAGAAACTGAAATTTTTATATTTCTTCTTTTTTACACACAGATTGGAGAAGACTCCCAAGAGAGATGATGCCAAGGAAAAAATACAAAAAAGGTACATTGACTAATATAATAATCCAGGTAGGGAAAGGTTATTGCTTAAACTCTATCTGTTGTGGAATTGTCTACCTGAAGCTGCACTTAGTGTTCTGAATACATTTTCTTAAAATATGTTCCACATTATTTTGTTAAGGCTTTTTTTGGTTGCTTTTTTTGTTTTGTTTATTTCCTTTAATTATGGAATTTCAATGTGCTAGGAAAGACTTCAATTATGTAGACAATTTTATTGTGTATTTGAAAATTTTTAAGTGATTATATTGCCTGATTTTTAAGTTTTTAACTGCAACATTCGGAACTGGTAAAATTTGGGCACTAGTAGACTAGAACTTTATGTTGTACATAAAATACCAAAGTGAAACTTTCTGTTGTGTTGTGCTTTCATAATTCCCCTGGGTAAATGATTGTTGAGCATCTGCTATTACTGTTGCTGGATGCCGCTAAGAGGAATAAAGCAGTGAGCAAAGTGGGAACAGTCTGTTCCCTGACGGAACTTACAGTCAAATGTAGCAACAGCCTTAAACCAAACCCCTCTGCCCTCCTCCGGAGGGCAGGGAAAAGCCCTTCGAGGAGATGGAATTGGACTCCAGGTTAAAGAATGAGTAGAAGTTTACTGAGGTTAGGTTGGGGGCAGATTTGGAGAAAGATCAGGCTTGAGAGGGAAAATCATAAGTTTAATTCAAAAGTCGTATGTAAGGGTTTGGGGGTTTTTTGTTGTTGTTTTTTTGTTTCTTTTTTTAGATATACAAATAGCAAAGTTGAATATGCTGTTGGATACGGGGGACATGGACCTCAAAACAGAGATGGTAATGATCAGAATAGGTACTGTAATTGAGACTATGAAAAAGCATGAGGTTGTCTAGAGTGAAATGAAAGATCTGGGAGAAATGAGGGCCTGAGCCGGAGGCTGGAGGAATACCAAAACCTAATAGCTGGTAGAGGAAACCGAATCAGTAAAGAAGAGAGAGAGAAAGAGGAGGCGGCGGAACAAGGGAACGGGTTACAGAGTACTCAGCAGTGAGGAGGATTCTAGAAGGTGGTCAGCAATGTTCAAGGACGTTGAACAGTGCTGCTGAGAGGTCCGTGAGGTAAAGATCAGAAAATGTAAATTAATTTTTGACATATTGATCGTTGCCGACTTCAGTGAGAGCTTTTTAAAGGATTTGTAGAGGTGGACTTGCGCATATTGGAATGGGTGAAACATTAGGGAGTTTAAAAAATGGACACAGCTAGCGTAGATGAGTCTTGAGAGAATTTTGCTAATAAGAATGAAGAGAAAAAGAGGGAAGTTGCCAGAGAGTTTAAGAACAATGGGGTTAGTAACTAAGAGAAGAAATTCCAGCCCCGCACACCCCTTTTATTTTTTCAGGCCCTGTTTATGTTTTTTTAATAGACTTTTTTCTAAGAGCAGTTTTAGATTCACAGCAAAAATGAGCAGAAAACAGAGATTTTCATGTATATTCTCTGCCTCATATACATTCATAGCCTCCTGCATTGCCGGCATCTCCCACCAGAGTGGCACCTTTATTACAATCGATGAACTGACACTGACACATCATTATCACCCGAAGTTTATAGTTTACCTTGGGGTTCTCTCTTGGCGTTTTACATTCTATGGGTTTGGACAAATGTATAATGACATGTATTCACCATTACAGTATCATACAGCACCATATTATAGTATGAAACTGTAATAGTATTGTACACCATTATAGTCTCATATGATCCTAAATGATACTATCATATACTATCATTTCACTGCCCTAAAAATCCTCTGTGCTCTCCTGTTCATCCTTCCCTCCTCCTAACCCCTGGCAACCACTGATCTTTTTATTGACTCCATAGTTTTGCTTTTTCCAGAATATCATCTAGTTGGAATCATACAGTATGTAGCCTTTCATATTGGCTTCTTTCATTTAGTAATATGCACTTAAGTCTCCTCCATGACTTTTTATGGCTGATAGTTCATTTTCTTTGAGTGCTGAATAATGTTCCATTGTCTAGTTGTACTATTGTTTATTTATCCATTCATCTACTGAAGGCCATCGTGGTTGCCTCCAAGTTTGGGCAATTATGAATAAAGCTCCTATAAACATCCATTTTTGTGTGGATGTAAGTATTCAACTCCGTTGAGTAAATACTAAGGAGGATGATTGCTGGATTCCATGGTAAAGTATGTTTAGTTTTATGAGAAACCACTGCACTGTCTTCCAAAGTGACTGTACCATTTTACATTCCCACCAGCAATGAATGAGAGTTTCTGTTGTTCCACGTCCTTGCCAGCATTTAGTGTTTTCAGTGGTCTAGATTTTTGCCATTATTTTGTTTTAATTTGCATTTCCTTGATAACGTATGATGTGGAGCATCTTTTTATATGCTTTCTTTCCATTTGTGTTTCTTGTCTGTTAAGTCCTTTCCTTAATTGGGTTTTTTGTGTTCTTATTGTTGAGTTTAAAGGGTTCTTGCTATATTTTGGATAACAATCTATAGGAAAAACACACTCCTGCCGTGTTTTTCTCCTTTACTCTCATACTACTACAGTTCATAATACTCCTGACACCAGATGTGTGGAGTTTTTTACCCACACAAGCAATTCTCTGCAACACCAGCTGGGTGTTACTATTCAGTTCAGTTCTGACAATAACTGGAGTTAGCACAGACCCTACAGTTTATGGGCTCAGTCCCACGAGATTGCTCTCCACTTCAGCCAGTCATGAGTAGTAGGTCCCCAGGTTACTCAAACTTCTGTCTGACTTGGCTACAAATCAGATATCCCACGACCTCCTGCTCCTTGAATTTGATTTACTAGAATAGCATATATTTGGCCAAAGGTGGAAAAATAATTCATGTTAATGTTTTGGGGTTAAAACAGTCATTAACAAATTTTGATAATCTGACACTTCTCCTCCAGTTATACATGTAAGGATTAGGCATTATATAAGCCAGAGGGATAAATAGCAAAAGATTCTGAGTATACAACTTACTTTCTTGGTTAAGAGATTAGTAATTTTAATAAGTTTATTTACCTGTCCATGTTCTATAATATCCATTTAGCAGACATGTGTTATACAACTTAAATAATTTGAAAAAGGATCCTAAAAGAAAAAGACTTAAGGTGTGAGTAAGTTACATTCTTTGCTAATGTTTTCTGGCATCAATATTGTAATATATATTGAGAACCTGTTCATTTATGATACTATATATTTATGTGCTACAGGTCAAATTAAACAGTCTTTCCTCCAAGGAGGGACTGAGAAAGTTTCCCAACATTAAATCTAACTATTACTTTTGTTTGAGCAAAACCTCACTAACATATGTTTAGTAGGAGTTCTGAGCTTAGTGATTCCCCAAGGAGGAATTTGGAATAACACAGTAAATTATAATTCCATTAGTTATGGATCATCTACCACAATCTAAAAATTTCTTCTATAGGTTAAATGTTAATCTTTAGCAAAATTACATCTTTCTGAGCCATATTTTCTTCTTTTACCAAGTAATTCCTAGGTATTTAGCTTGATTTGGGGAAATAACTCTTAACACTTTTTTATCACAATGACAGTTTTGTAGCATATTATAATGCTTTGGTAACTGATTGGCAGGATCTATATATGAAATAATTCTATAGTCCCTACAGTTTTAGAATAGCCTAAAATGCAATATTTTTTATATGGCTTAAAAAATTATCCCAAAGGCATTAACACATTTTGTTTATATTGCTTTGAGTTTTCAGATTCATATGATAGATAGGTTCACTTTAACCATTTTAATCTTCATTCCAAATATAGGGCTATGTGGCACTGAATAGAACCTCTTTCTCATCTCTTGAACCATTGGCAAATGCACCTATATTCTGCACTTGTTTTTTATCTTCCAAACTTGATAAAATTGCCCTAGTTAAAATAAAATACACTGGTCAGTGAACAGAAAACTAGTGCAGATGTTATATTTCTGAGAGCTTTTCATTGATCCTGTAGTGATTCTACTGGAGGTAATATTTTAGCAATTTTGGCCTGAATGATATTAATTGCCAGTACAGATTTTCAGTATTAGTAAGAAGATACCTGGTTGCAGTCTTAGAAAATATCCTATTACGTGATTATCATTTACTTCTCATCATGGAAAATTTATGAGGTGCCCTGGTCAGTTTGGTTCAGTGGTTAGAGCATTGGCCAGAGGACCGAACAGTCGTGGGTTTGATTCCCAGTCAAGGGCGTGTAACTGGTCAAGGTTCCCAGCCCCGGTCCGGGCAGTTGCGGGAGGCAAGCAATTGATGTGTCTCTCTCACATTGATGTTTCTTTCTCTCTCTCTCTCCCTCCTTCCCTTCCACTCTCACTAGAAATCGATAGAGAAAATGTCCTCAGGTGAGGATTTAAAAAACAAGAAAGAAAGAAAATTTGTGAGGTGTGCTGATTTATTTTGTTTATTAAGAAAATTAATTCAGTCTGCAAAGTATGTGACTGCCCGGTATGACATACCACTATGCTAGGCAGCATATTGAAAGGCAAAGAAATATAATTCATTATTGCTGTTATTAAAAAATGTGTTAACAGTGGTTTTACTTCAGCAGGTCCCAGATCCAAAAAGGTGAACAATACCGGCAAAGACACTTCACTCACTAATACTGCAGATGTACTGAAAAAAATTGAGGTAAGGCTTTCTTCTTGCTGTGGGAGTGAATTGAAAAGTTGCCATGCCTCCTTTGCCTTCTTCAGCCTTTCCACCTCCTCTCGCTTTTTAATAGCATGTGGATTTGACAGACCCGACCCCAGCACGCAGGTAACCAGAGAGGTCTGGTTATCGTCGGCTGGGAGATAAGGAACTCCATCCTGTCCTCTTACCACTCACCTGTCAACTTGCCTCACCTCTGTCCATTTCCTTCTCCACTCTGATCCTATTTTCCCCTTGCATTTGAGTTGTGCATGGGAAAGAAATGAGTTACATACCTAAAATCTATTTCTTTTAAAAACCTTTCAGTTTTTCTCCTGTTGTTATACATGTACTTCTTTAATGCTCTTCTTCTGTCTCGTATTAAGTGTAGAAGATTCTACTGAAGGAAAATCATAACTTGTGGAACTTATTTTTATATCTTTTTTATAATATTCCAAAACTAAAAACATGTAAAATTCAAAAGTTTAATAAACTGAAAATTTCCCCACCCGTTCCATTCCCCCCAGTAGACAACCAACATTACAAGCTTTTTATATGTCCTTCCAGAAATATTTTATGCATAGCAAATGCAAATTTTTTCTTTCTTTCTTTTTAAATGATAAAAGGTAGCATAAATACTCTTGCATTTCCATTTTATCACTTAAAATATCTTGGAGGTGGTTCCATGTCAGTCTGTATAGACTTGGCTAAGTTTTTTTTTCCTGCACTATAAGAATGAACCATAATTTATTTAATCAATGTCGAACCTACTGATGGACATTATGTTTCATGTAGTGTTTCACTGTTATAAACAATGCTGCGATGAATTCATGTCAAGTGTGTCATTTCACATGTGCAGGGTCGATTTCTAGAAGTGGATTTGTCCATGAAGGGTATACCAATTTATTCTATCAATACGTGTATTACCTTGAACTGATGGTGATGATGATGATAATGATAGCAGCTAGCATTTATTGAAAACTTATTAGTTACCAGGCTCTTTGATGAACTATTTGCATTCATTATGTCCTTAGACTTCATTACAACCCAGAGAGATGACATTGTTTCTTACAGATGAGATGAGTATTCCTTCCTTATTTTAAAACTTTTATACCTGGCCAAGTTGGCCATCTACATGGTAACAGAAACTCATATTTTTGTTATTTTATTTTGGCCAATACTTGAGCTGGAGAAAACATGTCTGAAAATAAAGCCAAGGGAATAGTGTTAACTATCAGGTTTAACTGTGGTGGACTGGTGGATGGGATTGCAGACATAGCCAACTTGTACTGACTGAACACTGATTGGGACTGTTCTTAAAGCTTCCTGGAAAGAAGTTGCTAAGCTGACATGCACTATGAGAAAGGTTGATTTGGACCTCTGAATGCAGTTTCTCATCAGAACAAATTGTGTTTCCTTAGTCTTTGCATTTTAACACCTTTTCAGTACAAACATTGTTAAAACTGGAGCTTTAAATCTAGAAATCCCAACAATTCAGCAGTTTTAATAGAGCAAAATTAGCTTCCAGATGACTCTTACTGTTTATTTCTTCATCAAACGCAGTTGCAAGTTTTATTATAATAAAACTTCTGGTGATGGAGAGGGAGTGGCATACACTCAAATCTCATAATTAACATGTGAATCACCAGACACCAGTAAACTAACATTTGAACTTCTTATTTTGCATGGCATACAGAGCAAACAGATAGTATTTTAACTATAAGTACTATTTTGTTTACTTGCAGTTTTCCAAAGGATTGCCATTTATAAAACTTGCACACGTTCTATTGTAGTAATAAGTCACATAAGGCAAGAGGGGTCAGTATGAAGATAATTGTCTTGGTCTTTTTTTGTTCTGTCTGAGTAGGGTGAAGTGACAGGAAAGTAGAGTTTGAATTTTGGTGAGAAACTGAGTTTATCTGATGTAGTCTTACTATTGCTTTTGATTTCCAAATTCAAATTTGAATGTAATAAATTTTTAAAAATAAATATTTAAGAACCAATAAAGGAATAGATGTTATAGTCACTCCAGATGTAAAATGTGTTTTATCTCTCTATATATAATCTACTAAGTGAATATCTTATAATAAGATGGAGCATTTGCAGATTTATAAGTTAGTGTTCTGATTACTGTTTAAGAATATTCCCATCTTAGCTAAAGTGATCTTATACCTTAATTATATTAACATGTGAAATTATTGCTACACCCATTTCCTAGAAAGCTTGTGAGATCCTATCACTTGTGCAAATTAAGCATAGAACAATTTAGTGATCAAAGAGTGACAGTAATGAAAACAGCTCATTTTTTACCAAATGGAATAATATTATTGGTAGTCATAATAGGAATATGAGGATGTACTAAAAATGTGTGTGTTAAAGTTATGAGACAGTTGCACAGTGATTTTAACAGGGTGGGTAAGTAGAACCATCAGGCAATCGAAGCTTTTCTAACTGTATCTTTTCTGCCTCCTCTCCTAAGAGTTGTTAAAAAGCGCTAATGTTGACTGTGACTTGAGTTTTAATCGTTCTTTTTTCTCAACCTGCCAGGTATAATCAGAAGCAAAATTCCTGGAAAATGCAAAGTAAATAATGAGGGAGAAAAGAAATAAAAAGACATGCATAATCTGCAAATAGGATAACTCACCCCAATATGACTTGATACTGTTTTAAATAATTTCACTTATAAACTAAAAATATAGACATTTTGAAAGTACCATTACATTCTCTTTTCTCCTTTTATGTTAGAAGGAAAAAAACCCAAAACGTTCTGAAAGTTCTTTTCCATAAATTGAATCAGTTCAATATTTTTGAATGAGGTATTAATAGAAATCATAAAAATAAAGCACTGTGCATAGAGCAGATATCCCAGCATTACCTGGGGTCCCAATTTTGAGTTAACAAAATCGAAGAAAATACTAGTGTGTCGCTAGGACAGTGAGCTCCCCTTTCTTGAGTTAACACGATTTCCTATGTGCTCCCTGGGGGTG